GTAATGCCCAATATCCGCAGGCATGGGAATCTGAGCTTAGACGCTCTGAAAATGAAGCGACTTTGTACGTACTACTGAATGTTTGAGAGTAGTACCTTTACATGAAGTAAAAGTACGCTGGGCCTGGAACCGAGTGAAATCGGTCGACCGAAAAGATAAGAAACAAATCCTCAGGCCCATGAGGCAGATCCTTCATATCTTCCAATAAAGTTTGTGGTTTTTCGTTCAAAGTGATTGGTAATTGAATTATCCCACGACCATATGAGTCTACCTTATGCTTACAATGTGTTTCACACAGCTCAGCTTTCCTAAAGGGTATTTTCATTCAAAAAATGCTGGACTCGAGTCGGATCAGCCACTCGAAATGGAGAGGAGCAAGACAAACAGCGGCTGTGATGAGGCCAGGTTAAATTCCTACCAAAAAGGGCACATCTCTCGTGGAACACAAGCATGTGAGAAGTTGTGATAGGACATGGGCGAGACTAGAGCGTATGAAATGGATCGAGGGGCCGGGGCGAAACGAGGAGTGATAGTTCAAGGAATTGACTTGACTTGTCGCGTTGATGAATTGTAGCTGAAGGTGGTGCTGAGAATGGCAAGACTCATTGGGCAGGTACCAAGTCCATGGTCACACTCGGGAGATGATCATACATACTATGGGTTCAGGAGTTGGTGTGTTCCTCTGGGTCTTCTGTCAGTATGACCAAGTTGTGAAAACAAAGTCAACCAGCCACTCGTAAAGATGGCGGTTGCCAATTCGCTCCACTTCTGGTCGCCAATTGTCAACACTGCTGCTGGTTGGGCGAATCATTTGCCAGTCCACTTCACAAAACTGTTGGTACCTCGCGCCCAATCCGGCAAAAATGCTCGGTCCCAAGACCTGTTAACCTGCGCTCGGAAATCGAGGACTATCCCCGGGGAAGAATTAAAATGAAAATATTTTCTATGAAGAAGAAATTCTCATGTCGATCTGACCAGAAGAAGACGGTCGAATCGCGTTGTACTGCAGCCGGTTGGCGTTCAGGTTTCGTTTCAGCCGAAAACGAGCTCAGCTTTCCTCCACCATTCGAAGGACATCTTCGGAGCTGGAAATGATGCTTGTAAAAGTGTCAAGTTAATACGAGGGCAAGAAGACTATCCGGCTCTATCCTACCGCTTATATAGACTCAATTAAGCCTAGATAGATTATTTTGGCTAATTATCTTTCATACAGATTCTGCTACTTTTGCTCGAGTGTGTGCCAACTTGAGGCGTTTACAAGAATGAGATCCAGCTGTGATGATGTCTCTCGAATGGTGGACGAAAGCTGAGCCCGTTTTCATTGACTGCTGAAATCGACTTACGAATCTCTTCTTCATCAAAGTCCCCATCAGCAAAGTTATCTCGGGAGATGCATCTTCATAGCTACGCCTAAAACCACTTTTATTTGCGCATCTGAGTAGAGTTTCGAGACTACCAGTATATCAGTAGTATGACATGTATTCACCCAATTTGGTTTAAGCTGATCAACGACTGGTAGTAGAATTTTCCAACAATGACATGAGTAGAGCTGACATTTCCATGCAATTTCACAGAGCCTTGCTTTCCCAACTGTTTTTCTCATCCCGGCTGGAGTGGACTGCAGTTTCGACCTCGCATCGGGCGTAATTGGTTATCGTGTCAAGCGCCCATTCTGCACTGTCACGGTTCGACTCCCGCCGGGGCTGTTGATAAGACCAGTTGAGGACAACTTTTGGTAAAGACAGGGAAATGTGAAATTGAATGGAAACGTCAGCATTGTGGGAAAATTCTTCTTCCACCAATCGTTCATCACCTTGAAGGAAATTGGGTGAATACATGTCATATTACTTTTATTTGGCATTTGATGACGAGATTTGTGTGCATGCAAAACCAATGTTGATTTCATGCTCTTTCTTGTATTTTGCCGAGCACAGGCCTACGCGGTAGCGATGGGGATCGCGGCGAGCCGGGCTTCCCGGGCGTCAAGGGTGGCCGCGGTGACATCGGACCTCCGGGCGCAACTGGGGCCAAGGGCGAGCGTGGCCGGCCCGGGCCTCGGGGACAGCCCGGCTCATTCGGGACCCACGGGCCCCCCGGCGTCAAAGGGGCACAGGGTCAGTCGGGCGATCACGGAGCCCCGGGCATTCCGGGCCCCGCCGGCATGAAGGGCGACGCTGGATTTGTGGGCGAAAAAGGAGACCAAGGTACACCACATCGAGTCATGCTTTTTTTTAGCTTAACAAAGCTTTGTGCTTATTTGGTA